TCTAGATAGTTGGATAAAATGGTGAACAAGTCAAAATTCTGCTTTTCATGGGGATTAGTCTTGTGGGGTAGACAATTAAAACTATAATGTATTGGGAAATAAGTGCACTAAAGAAAAATAAAGCAGGGTAAGGGATAAAACTAACAGGGTGTGAGAGTGTTTATTTTAGTTGGGGTAGATAGGGGAGTCCCTGGGGAGGGGACATTTGAGAACTTGAATGAAGTGAGGGGGAAATCCTTGAGGGAGGGTGTCTGGGGGAGATAATCTAGATAGAGGAAATAGCGGACACCTTTAAGTGGGAGTGAACTTGGCTTGACCAAGAAATAGCAGAAGGCCAAAGTAATGAGAATGAGCAATGAGAATTGTAGTCGGAAGTGGAGGGTCGGGGGGTGAATGGCAGATCATGGAGGAGTTACTAGACAATGGTGAGGGCTTGGAACAGAATTCAGTGCCTGAAGGATTTTGAGCCAGGGGAATGACCTGCTCAGATTTACCTTTTAAAAGGGTACTCTGGGGCTTCCCTGGTGGCGCAGTGGTTGAGAGTCTGCCTGCCGATGCAGGGGACGCGGGTTCGTGCCCCGGTCCGGGAGGATCCCACATGCCGTGGAGCGGCTGGGCCCGTGAGCCATGGCCGCTGAGCCTGCGCGTCCGGAGCCTGTGCTCCACAACGGGAGAGGCCACAACAGTGAGAGTCCCGTGTACCGCAAAAAAAAAAAAAGAAAAGAAAAGAAAAAGGGTACTCTGGGCCCTGTGTGACCAGAAGGGAGAAGATGAGGAGAGACCAGTTAGGCTACTACAGTGAGAGGTGGCGGTGGCTTAGACTGGTGAAGGTGATGGATGTGGTGAAAAGTTTAGAATGGGATATATATTTTGAAGGCAGAGTAAAATGGACTTGCTGTTGGATTGATTAAGGGAAAGTAAAGAATCAAGGATAACTTCGGGTTTTTTGTTTTTAATCTGGGCAAAGACTGACTGCTAGTTCCATTTACTGAATTAGGAAAGACAGAAGAATGGAATTGGAGGGAACATCAGTAGTTCAGTTTTGGTCATGTTAAAGTTTGAGATGCCTGTAAGACATCTACCTACATAAAGGTGTCCAGTGGGCCTTTGGAGCTCAGGGAAGTCTGAAGCTCAGGGAAGTCTGGAGCTCAGGGAAGTCTGGACCTGCTGAGGAAAGGAGGGTATCACAGCAAGTGAACTGGTGGTGATCAGAGCGTTAGACGCTAGAAATTAAAATTATGGACATGGTGCAGTTGTTGGTAACAGTAAGTTCTAGGGGAAGATGTGACTGGGACATAAGAACAGCTTTTTGGAGAAAGGAAGAAGTCAAGGAGCTTGGAGGCCAGGAGCTTGGATCTAGTACATAAATGTTGAAGTGAAAGAAGTGTGGAAGAATTGGTGGAAGGGAGAAAGGGGGAGTGAGTGAGGTGTTCACATCCTCAGTAAAGGAAGGGAGTGATCAGGAAGACAGAACATACAACAAAGTATCAGGTGTAATAATCTGGCTGAGGTATTTAAGAAAGGGAACGAGGAACGGCAACCTGGAAGTAAGAGGAAACGAGGAGGATAACTTCTCCTGTGTTAATAGGAGGGCAAGAAAAAACTATGATACACCTCACATATAAGGGCAGTGATCCTTGTCAGCACCTAGAAACCACTTAGTATTAATTACAGTTTGAATTTTTGACTTTGCAACAGCTAAAGTAGTCTGGCTAGCTAGTGTCTAGATTGGTAAGGGGGTGGATTCACAGTCCTGAATGAGTGGTCAGAAAGTTCACCTCTCCTTCATCTCACCTGGATGATTGCAGGAGTCTGCTAGGAGGATGATTGCCAGAGTGTCCCTTTCTTATGCTTTTGCCCTCCTTGTGGTCTGCTCTCCACACAGAGGCCAAAGTGATCCATTTGTGTAGAGAAGGAACAGTTGAACTGAGCATTACTGTAATTTTCCTCCATTTTCTGCCGCAACAGCCATGTACTGTTACTGACATGCGTGGCAGGAGGAGCTCAATTCAGACATCATCTCATAATCTTATGATTTACATGATAGGATTTGGTTAAAATTGAGGTGAGGCATACGTAATAGTTATCCTTCCTAACATCTGTATGTGTGACAATAACAATATTTGTTAATGCTTTCTTGGAAGCCATGTGGTGTTTGAGCTGCATTTGAGAAAGTGTATAATTATGGAACTTTACCCTCATCTAGCACATATTAAGAGCAAACACAAGTAGAATTTGAGGGATGATATGACTTTGTGTCATTTAGCATACAGGGCATAGATATGTATGGATCAGATTCACTTAATTTTTTAAGCCAGGTTGTTAATAGAATATTGGTACTCTAATATGTATTATCTTTGTGTGTGTGTGTGCAGTAGTATTTTAAACTTTCTAGATGAAGAAACAGATTGAGAGGTTGGAGGATTTACCTGAGGATGCAATATGGTGGAGCAGAGATGTTAACTTACCTCTTGGTGTTGTGATACCAAATCTTGTGCTTTCCCCGCTGTGTTATGGTTCTCTCTTCCTGCTAATGGAGGAAATTGAGGCCAAATACCATAGACTATGACACAAAGCTTTTTATAAAGAGTTAGTGTTTTCTTCTTTGGCTCACTTCTAAAATGTCGATGGATCTATGGCAGTGTAATTGTGCAAACTCAGTACCTGTGCTTTAGTTTTTTGTTGTTTTTTTTTTTTGCGGTACACAGGCCTCTCACTGTTGTGGCCTCTCCCGCTGCGGAGCACAGGCTCTGGACGCGCAGGCCCAGCAGCCATGGCTCACGGGCCCAGCCGCTCTGCGGCATGTGGGATCTTCCTGGACCGGGGCACGAACCCGTGTCCCCTGCATCGGCAGGCGGTAGAGTCCCTATTTTTAATCACACACTATTCACCCCTGTATAATTCCTTTTTGAAACATCTTTGTTCTTTTTGCATCTTTTATCTTTCTGTTTTTGTCCCTAATTTCTACTTCTTGTTGTCTTACTTGAGGGTATCCCTCAGAGTTTAGTTGTCAGTTCTCACTTCTCTAATCTTTTCTGTTGGAGAATTAGATGTTCTTCTGGCTTCCTCTGTCACAGTTACACAAATGATTCTAAAATTTACCAGTTGCCCTGACCTCTTTCCTACGTTCCTCTTTTTAATTGAATCTTATTGGTCTCCTAAAATTTCTACTTGATATATTCATTTACTATTCCAGAATTCTGTTTCATTTGATTTCGGAAAAAAATAGAAGGAAACTGATCTAGATTTGTCAGATTTTTACTTTGCCAAGCAGTGATATTTAAGAAAGCAATCAAGCTCACCGTGTACTCCATTTCATACAGAAAAGGACATTTAAACATAACCATTTAAAAAGACCATAATCTTAGAATTTTAAAAATAATGTAGTGAGCACTTCATTATGTTTTGCTTCAGACTGCTGAAAACTTCTACATAGTAAAACACTGCTTTGGAGTAAGCCTTGTACTGTCCTGATATTGATCTGCCTAAAATTTGATTTTGATCATATTTTTCAGGGCTTAAAATGTCTCACTACTGCCTAACTGAAAAAAATCCTAATTTTTAGGCCTTTACAGTTTGATCCCAGTTCTTTTTTTCAAGTCTTTTTCCCTCCCCACTTTTCTGTTACCAACTTAAAAAGAAAAAAAAAATCCAAATAGTGGGTGGTGTTTGTAGTTTGGATCTGACCCAGGTTCAAATCTGACCCTGCCATTAGCTTTGTGGACTTGGGCAAGTTACTGTAATGAGAAGAAACAAACAGCCCTTGGTGTCCTGGCGCTGCCCTGGTGCAGTCAGCTAGGCCTTGGTGTTGCTGTGACCTAGCCTGGAACTTGAGAGCTAGGTCTTCTGGGTATTCTGTTGAACACAAACGGTTTCACTGAACATTAGCATCACACAAAGCCATTCCTTGAATATGATGGGTCAAGACAAGCATAAGACCATGTTATAATCATGTCTTAACACAGGTAAAGACATGAATGTTGCCCAAGTCACAAAATATGCAACATTCCCCTCTCCAGGCTGCTGGGAATGATTGTTGATGCTTTACCAAATACAGCTTTAGCCTCCCTCTGGTCTGCCTCCCTACAGAGATTTGTTGGTATACCCAGTCATCAAATTGTCCTTGTTTTCGGCCAGCACTCAAGCCAGAGTGAACCCCCGCTTCTTTGGCCTGTCCCCCAAAATCACTTAGTCAAATCCAAATCCTAAATAAGTCCTTTCTCGTATTCTCTTACCAAGATGCCCCACAGTTTCCCATGATGTGCATTCCTGATAAACTCAGCTTGTTCAGCCATTGGTATGTTCCTGGTGTGTGGGTGGAAGGCATTGGCAGTAACTACCTGGAACCTTATTTTTCCTCATATATGAACCAGGAGTAATAACAGGTTTTCTGCAGAGTTTTGAAGATTAGATGAGAAAACTTAAAGCACCTAGCAGAGTCCTGGTAGTTAGTAATTACTCGACGAAAGCTTGTTTCTTGTCCTCTAGTGAAGTAGTCTGATCAGTCATGGTCCCCTGAACGGGGCTTACAAGGACCTTGTTTTCATCCTTTCTCACCCATGAAGTGCTCCATTCTCGTCCTTCAAGATTCAGGTCACATACCTTCTGTTCTGTGAAACCTTTGCACCTCTTAATGGTCTCTTCTGACTGCACTTCAGGTATGTATTGTTTTTACCATTGACTTGACTATTGATTGTGCTCTACCTTGTGGCATCTTTGTACTTTTATTTAATTCTTAATTTTTCATGTACTTATGCCTTGTTTGTTCAACTAAATTTTCTTTAAGAATGGGGGCTGTGTTTTGAAACCAGCCAATCACTTTATAAAGACCAATTTCTTCATATTTGTTATAGTATCTTGTACTCGGAAAATGCTTAAATGTGATTAAAGTAAAACAAAAGGAAGAGAATATATCATTTGTTGCCTCCCCTAAAAATACGGTGATATTGTGAAATTTGCCTAAGCCAGATACTTAAAGCTTTTTATATCTTCTTTCCTAGACAACCCGATGTTGGGCGAAGAGAAGATGTCTGTAAGAAAACGGCTGTCAAAGTCTAGTAAACATGCTGAGGAAAAGGGGGAAGGCCAGAGAGCCTGTACAGAGGAGAGCCAAGGGACAACTAGTAACGGTGAGGCTTTCACTGTTTCTGAGGTGAATTAATGAAATAGGCAACAAATTCAGTGTTCTAGAGCAAGGATTGCCATCTCTTTAGCTCTCTTATAAATGGATATGCTGGTAGGCACTGTAAAGTGCAGGGGAGAAAAATAAATTGATTAAAAGAATAGAAAGGAACAATTTGGTTTAGTTGCCAGTCACAGCTGCTTTAGATACTGCTGGTGACCCTGGTGTGTAAATTGCTGCACCTCTCATAGAGGTGAGCTTTATGGATGTAAGTGGAGTTTGCAATGTATGCTTTAATTTAGTTTTATATATCTGGTAACGAAGAAACTAGAAAGTAAGCCCTTTTAAATTAATTCATTGAACATTTTTGGGGTATCTACTATGTTTTAGACATCATTCATTCATTTATTCATTCCTTCAACTACCTACCCTGTCAATAATTATTGGTGTCCTGCTAGGTGTTGGGGCTACAGCAGTGATTGATACAGATGTGTTTGCCCTCATGGAGCTCCAAGTTAAGTGAATGAGAACCCCTTTCCTGCCGTTAGCATAATTAGATTATTATAAATAAGTGCTACTAATTACTCTTTTAATAGGTGTAATGAGCATAATGAGAGTAATTAGCAGGGTACCTAACTTAGTTCAATACTAGGTTATAAATCTTGAGGGAGTTTTGTTAGTTCTCATGTCCAAGTTTGCTTAACATGAATACAAAGAAGACTATGACACAGTACTTGTTAAGGTCAGGGTTTGTGCTTAAGATTGATAGACCTGTAAACACAACTTCAACTGATGCCATCTATTGCATCAGGATATTTATTTTTGCGGTGACATTTGTATAGGTTTGATTTCAATGAGGATTTGAAATTTGAGGCTTGTTTGGTTAACAAATAGGTGTGGAACTTTCCGAGACAGGTTGTCTTTGGCATCCTGAGACTTCTTTCATGAAGAAAACATTTTGCTTTTCCTACTTAAATTTAATTGTAAATTAAATACAGCAGCTGGATCCAGGAATATAAATGTTGCTGCTTAAGTTTGCATAATGTAGTTTATTAATTGTTGGACTCTTAATTAGCTATTTATGAAATATTTATATTGGCATATGGACTAGTTTTAGTGTGATATAAAATGCGAAATTTGTGCAAAAGGGTAAGCCAACATTGGGTAGAAACTTTCCCCTTCCTTGATTTAGGGACTGGGTGCTAATTCACATTGTCTTTTTATTGAAACTTTCTGTTACCAGATATGATTTTCTCACTGTGTCCGAGTTTTTAAAGAAAAGCTTTTAGACTATTCTAATTTCTACATGTTTTCAGTATTCCTTATAGCCTCGGTTCATTAAGTTTTAATCATTCCAGGTTTTAATGCAGATAATAAAAATTGAATTGTTTAGCCTAAAACAAGAAGTCTGACCTCCTCCGTGGTTTAATGTAACTAACGCTGATCTGAAAATTGCATGTGTTTCTCCACTTACTTTAACATTGGTTCACTTTGGGGAAGTAAGCAGATGGGTAAAATGTGACCTTTGAGTAGTGAGGGCTTAAAGGACACCACGCCATACCAGTCATCGTGGCCTACCACCCAGGCCCAGGGGCATCTGCACCATCTGGGGGCCTGTTAGAAATGCCTCACCTCACACTTAATTGAATAAAAATTTCATTTTAATCAGTTCTCAGGGGATTCATACGCAGGTTAAAGTTTGAGACGCAGCTCTTAGAGTGGCAGTTCTCATTTGGGATGTGTATTAGTCAGAGTTCTCCAGAGAAGCAGAACCAATAGGATATATATAGATATAGAAAAAGATTTATTATGAAGGGTTGGCTCAGATGGAGGCCGAGAAGTCCCACAGTTTTACTGTTTATGTGCTGGAGGCCCACGTACTTCTGAGTACCTTGGCTTTCACCTCTTGGCTACTATGAATACTGCTGCTGCTATGAACACAAGTATTCAAATATCTCTTCAAGACTCTGCTTTCCATTCTTCTGGATCTATACCCAGAAGTAAGATTGCTGGATTCTGTGGTAGTTCTATTTTTAATTTTTTGAGGAACTGACATAATGTTTTTGATTGCGGCTGTACCATTTTACAGTTTCACCAGTGGCACACAAGGGTTCCAATTTAACCACATCCTCACCAGTGCTTGTTATTTTCTGTTTTTGTTGGTGGTGGTTGGTTTGTCTTTTTAATAGTAACCATCCTAATGGGTGTAGGGTGATACCTCACTGTGGTTTTGATTTGCGTTTCCCTAATGATCAGTGGTGTTGAGCACTTTTTCACATACCTGTTGGCCATTTGTATATCTTCCTTGGAGAAATATCTATTCATATCCTTTGGCCATTTTGTTTTGTTGAGTTATATGCTTTTTTGTTGTTGAGTTGTAGGAGTTTTATAATATTATAATATTCTGAATATTAACCCTTCATCAGATATGATTTGCAGATATTTTCTGCCGTTCCATAGGTTGCTTTTTCACTTTGTTGACTGTGTTCTTTGCACAGAAGCTTTTAAGTTTGATATGATTCCATTTGTCTATTTTTGTGTTTATTGCCTGTGCTTCTGGTATCATATCCAGGAATCTTTGCTAAGCCCAGTGTCATGAAGATTTTGTGTCCTATGTTTTCTTCCAGTTTTAGAGTTTTGGGCCTTACATTTAGGTCAATAATCCATTTCGAGTTATTTTTTATATTGTATAAGTTAAGGGTTCAACTTCTTTCTTGGGCATGTGGATATCCACATCAGTTTCGGGAGTATTGCCATATGTAGTAGGCTGGAAAATGCCCCCTCTCCCAAAAGGTCCTAAAACCTGGAACCTGTGAATGCTGCTTTATATGGCAGGAAAAGGGGGCAGAGGGGTCTTTGATATAATTAAGTTGGGAGTCTTGAGATTATCTTGCATAGCCACCTGGGCCCTGAATGCAGTCCTGTATATTATAAGTGGGAGGCAGAGGGAGATTTGATGACACACAGAGGAGAAGGTGATTTGAAGATGGAGCAGAGAGAGATTTGTAGATGCTGGCTTTGAAGATTGGAGTGCAATGGCCAAAAGCAAAGGAATGCTGCTAGCTACCAGAAGCTGCAGAGCCAGGACTGGATTCTAGAGCCTCCAAAGGGAGTGGGGCCCTGCTGTGACACCTTGCTTTCAGCTTGGCCTCCAAAACTGAGAGAGAATTGTGGTTGTTTTAATCCACCAAGTTTGTGGTAATTTGTTACAGCAGGTGCAAGAAACTAATACACTATCTTAACAATATTAAGTCTTTCAACCCATGAACATGGGATGTCTTTCTATTTACAGACATACCTCGGAGATATTGTGGGTTCAGTTCGAGACCACCGCAATAAAATGTGTATCATGATAAAGTGAGTCCACATGAATTTTTTGGTTTCCCAGTACATATAAAAGTTATGTTTATGCTATACTGTAAACTATTAAGTGTGCATTATGTCTAAAAAAAGACAGTGTACATACCTTAATTAAAAAATACTTTATTGTTAAAAGAATGCTGACCATCACCTGAGTCTTCCTCAAGTTGTAATCTTTTTGCAGTAGTAACATCAGAGATCACTGATCACAGATCACCATAACAAATATAATAATGAAAAGTTTGAAATACTGTGAGAATTACCAAAATATGACAGAGAGATGAAGTGAGCAGATGCTGTTTGAAAAATGGTGTCGATAGCCTTGCTCAGTGCACGGTTGCTACAAACCTTCAATTTGTAAAATCAAAGAACAAAAAATCCTGCAATATCTTCAAAGTGCAATAAAACGAGGTGTGCCTGTATTTAGGTCTTTGATTTCTTTCAACAATGTTTTATAGTTTTAAGTTGATAAGTTTTACACTTTTTTTGTTAAATTTATTTCTAAATATTTTGTTCCTTTTGCTGCTGTTGTAAGTGGAATTTTCTTAATTTCATTTTCCAGTCATTTGTTGCTAATGTGTAGAAATGCAGCTGGTTTTTGTATATTGGTATTGTATCCTCCAACCTTGCTGAGCTCATTTATTAGCTCTAAGAGTTTTTTGTGTGTGTGTTTTGTAGTATTTTCTATATACAAGATCATGCCATCTGCACATAAGAATTCATTTCATTTCTTCATTTTCAATCAACATGCCTTTTATTTCATTTTCTTGCCTAATTGCCCTTGCTAGAATTTCCAGTAAAATGTTGAACAGAATTGGCAAGAGTGGACATTGGGCATTCTTGTGTTGTTTCTGATCTTAGGGAGAAAATTTTCAGTTTTTCTGTTAATTATGTTAGCTGTGGATTTTTGTAGGTGCCCTTTATCAGGTTGGAGACATTCTCTACCTTTCTCTTAATTTACAGGTAATGCCTATTCTTGACTACCATTTATTTTGCTGCATTGTTCATTTGATAGCTAATTAATGAGTAAATATGATAATAAAGTATTAACAAATATTAACTTGGTTAAATACTTCTAATTCTATTCAATTTCAGTGTTCTTTGAGATATGTACATAAGTATTTGAACAGAGAGAACAACCTGCCTTTTGTAAAGATTGAGAGTCCCTTGGCAAAAATATATGAAAAAAAGTTAATATCATTGTTACTCTGTAATTTAGCCCCTTCATCCAATTTATGCATCTAATCATAAAACTGGCCAGTCCACAGAGAGCTTTGATCAACTGAGTAGGTTGAGAACACATTTTTTTTTTTCCTTAGAATAAAAGCAAAACATGTTTGTTTTAGAAAGTGCAGATAAGCAAACGTTCAACTGTTTATGATTTTTCCTTGGCTACATTCCTAGAAATTGTTTTTAGGTCAGAAGATTTTTTGGGTGGGTATTGCCAAATTGCCCTCTGGAAATATTGCACTCCCAGTAGCCATATGAGAGTGCCTGTTTCTTCAACCTTTCTTCAGTCATGGATGATGTGACCTTTTGAATAAACTCTATGGCATTTTGAGAGATGACAGATTCCACTTTGCTTGAAAAAGGTTTTGTACAATGAGACATAGTTAAAAGCAGCAGTAAAGTTATTGAATATTAATT